TCAGGTTTCTAAGCCGCGTGAATGAAAGTTAAATGGAAATTTCAACGACTGCTATACTAAGGAAAAATTCGCAGCGTAATTCTAATTTTGAATTGTATTGAATGAGATGAATCATTAATAATATTTTACAGACACAAACACAATTTCAAGTGCAGCTGAATCCAAATAAATTTTTTTCTTTTAATTTAGCTGTCTTAAATTTTGCCGCCCCTTAATTCTGCCGCCCTAGGCTTCAGCCTATGTTGCCTGTACGATAAATCCGCCACTGAGCGCAGGCATTATACCCTTATTGTTTTTGTGTGGCTGTCAAAATGAGTAATGATGGTTATGGATGGCCGTAAGCAGAAAAGCGAAGAAAATGTGAATTAAAGCAAGCAATGTTGAGTAAAAATATGTTGATTAAATAACAGGGGAACGAAAGTTATGGCAAAATACAAAGAAATGCAAAAGAATAAACGGCAATGCCAGACGTGCCAGCTGCTGGTTAGTTTGTTAATCAAAATTAAATAAAAAGTTAAGGGGGTTTGCATAGTTTGCATTAGGAAAGCAGATTTCACACTTATATAAATTTCAAGGATTCAAGGGCAAGTTATAAAATGAAAAAAAATAAATAAAATAAAAATAAAATAAAAATAAAATAAAAAATAAAGTAGCGAGAAAATAAGCAATGATTAAAATAAGCAATGCACTGTAGTTTCAACCGGAAACAGTCTCAAAGCTCAATAGAAATTTTGATGCCTGAATTTGGTTTTGACTGGCAGAGCATCTGTTCATCGAAGGCTGAATTCGTCGAATATTTAACCGAATATTCGGAGGTGATGAATCCGAGCTCCCAGTTGATGACGACGGAGTCTATGTGCCACCACCCGGCTATGGAGAGGTACAAAGAGCAATTTCGCGCCTGATAAATCAAAAAGCTGATCAACTACTGAAATTGAAGTGTACTCTACCCAATTTACAAGAAAGACGATGCCGACATATGCCTCCTATCCCGCAGGATTAGCCTTCCAAGCATCGGATATAGGGATTTATTAAAGCACGAACAATGACAACTACCGATGAGTCGGCCCTGTCAAAATTCCGTAGGCGGTTAAGAGCAAAAACAAGAGTGCGATGTTTTAATGCTTTTTGTTTGACGAACTCTAATTTTTTGCCACTTGGACTTGGAGTATTTGGTACTGCAATAGTTTGTCTTTTTGGGACCCAGCACAGTGTTACCGTATTTCTCGCCAATAATTGAAGCGTGTTAAAAAACTCTTTGCAGAGTCTGGAATGCTTTTGAAGCGGACCCAGCCGGCTGCTTGGCTGTCTAACCAGATAACTATGAACGCTCCTTTCAAACCCATTCCAAGGCTTCCCTTTGACACAGAACTAAAATGCTACCACCTCGGCTTGATAAATAAGAACCAAATAAATACACAAAAATATAAAAGATGAGTACATATACTAACATAGAAGCTACCCAATTAAAGCAAACAAAAAGAAGAAAGCCTAAGAAGTTAACAAAATGAAAAGACACAATAAAGCAACAATTTATTCAATTAAAATAAGTATACGTTTAATAATTCTTTTTTGTACACAGAGAAAAATATATCTACATAATATATTTATGTACATACATATCTATATATGAAACCTTATTATCAAAACGCCGCATTACTTAATTGTTCTTCATAAAATAATTAATGTTTAATTAAATTCGTAACAAAAGCACAAACAAGACTCCTTAACAGATGTTTCCAGCCACTGACATTTAAAGGTCAGCGGCTTGTTTTGACAGGTACGTACATATGTATGTATGTAAATTCAAAAACTACTCAGAAACTTTCTTGTCACGTAAATTTCCAAAAAAAAAGAAGAGAATATTGTCTTTGAACTGCCAAAGCTTGAATCTTTGTTGTTAGTTTTCCATTAGAAGCCATAAACTCATTATGAGTTGAGTAAAAGCGCCATTGTCATCATTATTCATTTAACTGGCAGGAAAGATTAAAAACTTCCATTATTCCACCTTAATGAAGTGCAACTAAGTGTGGGCAGGTGGATGTCGCTGACAGTTTTCATACTTAGTTAGTCGTTGGTATTTATCAGGTTGCATTTATTAGTTGAAACTTTCGCGCGTTAATGTAGGCGAGTTCGCTCATTTATGGCTGAGTAGACAAAAATATAACGTGTGCGTGTGTGTGCGAGAGAGTGTGTGTGTGCGAGATATGATGACAAGTGGCGGAGGAAAATTAATGTCATCTCTATTTTAAAGTAATAGTAACAGGTTGACCGAGCTTTGCTCGGACTGCATATGTATGTAAGTACGCACTTTTCAAAGTTTCAATGTTTGCGTATCACATAATGGATGTTTGGATAGCTTTCTAGAAAAAGTATGTCGCTTAAAAAATATTATTGATTGACAACAGCAAGGCGCACCCCACATATCGGTGGAGAAGCTCGGCCAATCTGACATTGATATTACTCAGTGAAACAGAATTCCATAAAAATAATATTTTGGAAAGCAATATACGATTTTTTAACTTTTTGATCCCCAGTTTCACCAATCAATTTTAAAATTTATTATTAATTTTATTATTTGATATTAATTATTAAAAATTTTCCGAAAAAACTGTGTAATTTAGAATTCTAACAGGCTGATAAATTTAAAATTGTTTGGTGCAACCCGGCATGAATCGTATAAAATAAATAAACCTCTTACATTGAAAATTAGGTGGCAAACTTATTTTGAAATACCCCAAGTTGAAGAGTACCAGCCCTATCGCCAATTCTATGTGAATAAAATTCCCATAATTTAGCCTGCAAAACAAAAACAAATTGGGAAACATTGTTTTTGTTTTGCTTTATAATATTTGGGAATATTTGTTAATGTAAAATTCGCAATAGGGCCGTACATATTTTGCGTGCATATATACTGTGTATTTACATACATAAAAATGTTCTTTAAAATTAATAACATACAAGCTTATATTAAAAAAAAAACATGGCAATCCTAAACGAAAACACTTCTGGATTAAAGCTCTGAAAAATCTATATATTAAAACGCTAACATAAATTTTGTCACCGTTCATTTGGCGATTCTACGGTACCGCTTTAAAATAAAGTAGCTTTAAAAATGGTTTATAAACTGAAAAATGTATGAAAACGTCACTTTATAAAGCTCTTTA